TATGTGTGTGTGTGTATATTAGTTGATGTCGAAGTTTATGCTGTGCCTGTTGGTAACATTATTCGGGGTCACAATCGCTGGAGCCCTCGGTTTAAACGGCGGTGCTAATGGCAGCAGAAAACATACAATGTTTATACTCGGCACATAACTTTCTTGCCTGCCTAGCTGAGGTTGCACCGCTTAGTATGGAATACTGAAAACACAATGTCCCAACATCATCTAGGAAACGACGGTCGGAGTAAAGGCTACGGCTTCGTACGATTCTACGACAAAGCCGAGCAATTAGACGCTATCACACGCATGCATGGTGCCGTAGGATGCGGAGGTAAAATACTACGAGTGAGAGAAGCCACCCCCAAGAATCCCCGCAGAGACGGAGGCGGCGGCATGGGAGGCCATTCGGTAAGTGTGAGATTGTGTGAGGCATGTTAGTGTGGGCTCCTTTACTGGCTAGAGAGGATTTATGTGTCTGCATCAAATTATAGGCACTTGTTGCGAACGAGGTTGCCTGAGGATTCTTGAGAGTTTTTTGGGCATTTGATACCCCTATGCGCATACTCAAGTTTGTAGTTTTGCCTTTACTTGATGAGCCCATGCTATATGCAATAATATCACTCAACTCGCAGAATCTGTTATGTCTGAATCCTATTTCGTGGACTGTTCGTATACGGCACATTGATATAGTCTTGGCTAGCTTATAGCAGGCATTTCCGATTGTGGGATAATTAACCGTTTGTACTATCTACAGCAATGGGGGGGTGGCAATCAATGGGGTGGACAACAACAGCAGTGGGGTGGGCAACAGTGGGGGCAACAGGATCCATACAATCAGTGGAATCAGCAGCAGGCGTATGGGTGGGGTGACTACCAACAAGGTACTGTCTTTGATTTGAACAAGGTTCACGTATGTAGTAGTATCAGCGAATACAAACGCGATGCTTTTGCAGTGGCCATCGCGTCGTATAGATAAGCATGAGCACCTCATTGTACAATTGCTTCTTTCAGTCTATTTAGCCAGATATTGATGCACGACTTCTTTACTGGATATTGTAAGCAGGTCAGGCAGGACAAGTACAGGACCAAACGGGAATGCAGGCTGGCAGTGGGGTAGCTGTGATCACACCGGCAGAACTCACGCCAGCGATGGAAGAAACGCTAGATTTCACTGGAAAATACAACGTTAAGGAAGCAAACGAGGTAGGCGTATATAGCTGTGGTTGTGTGAGGGTGTCGTTAGTGGGTAGAACCATGCCAGTCGCTCCGGAACTCGTGTAGAGAATGTTCGCGTGTATTAGGATATGGAGGTTGGCTATATGCATGCTTCAATTTATTATACTTTGCGGAAAGCGGGTATAGTTCCCCCACTCTCCGCTCACTCCTGCACTACCTTGACGGAAAGCAAACTAGTCAATCTGCTTCCTGTGCTTTATTTTGTGATTGCATTGAGCTCAACATATTCTTTACCGAATTGAGTGCTCGGATGTCGTTAATAGTTATGCAATTTACCTCGGACTTAGCTGGCTCATATGCCAGAGTGAATTCTGCGTATCACATATACTTGCATATGTTACGCATTAAATACCCTTCACTGTACGCATATAGATTCACAACTTTCCTTTAACACAACTCATGACCAATTAATGCGCACCCTTCATCCGCAGATATACCTCAAGAAAGAGACGAAATTACTCATGAGTAATCTCGATGCCTGGGAATTGCCTGTGGGTCAAAGGCAGGCTGCTATGTAATACGGAGAGGCATATTACTCAGTGGACACGAGCCAAAAATAAACACTTTAAATTCCATCATACGTTGATCGAAATCATTGTTTTTATTCCCTTCTAAAGTAGATTATGAAGAATACCGCGATTAGCACTCGCCGGCATGCGGTACAGCTGCGACCGTCTTCCGTCCCGACGTATAGATGCCCAGGATGTGTAGGTATAACATTGTACAAAATTGTGTAGGCACAAGCCTTGTAGAGAGATGTATATGCAAATGTCCAACATCGGGATTACCGTGGTATACATGAGTTCCGATGTCTGCATTCTCAGTTGTCCGCCTGGAAGCAGACGTGTATAGCCTAGCTGCGAGGCCGTACAATCCGGAAGCTATACGGAATACAGGCTGAAACTCCACAGAAGCTACTTAAGTTGCAAGTTTAGCCAAGTTTGCCAGAATAATGTACACCAAGCGGTAGTGACATCGGAAAAATACTTCGAATTTCAAATGCCTCAAGTAGCTGCCTCGACAATTGCAGCGTATTTGTGATAGGCTTTTGGCAGAGTGTGGTCAGCTAGGAGTTGAGTTGTGAGTAGCCACCCACATTTGTAGGTTGAGTGATAGAAAGGTTACATCACGCTAGGTGATGTATTTGGTAACATATCTGCAGCACTTGCTAGCAATCATTCATGCCACCACGCTTAGTAGCCATGTACCTGCGTACACCCTTGGACTGTGCGCGATGCCTTGCTTGTAAGCTGTTTACCCGCACGCATTGACTTCAGGATGTGTGACCATATGCGCTTACCCTGCTATGTGGCTATGTAGCCGCGTCTTCTGTGCGCATATGTCGTGACTATTAAAGTATGTCATATTAAGCAGTCGTGGGGAAGTTCAGACGGGCTTGTCCGCGGGCCGGTGGCGCAATGCGGGTGATGCGTTTGTATTTCCCTTGCTTTTGACCTCTGTTCCGGATCGCGGGAGAGAAAAACAAGCAATCAATGAATGTAAAAACAAATAAAACCAACCGATCAATGAATGTGTTACATTTCCAGTACAATACACGCGGCTGGGGTGCAGAGACTAATTCAAGCGGGTTGGCGCTCTGCAGGTGGAGCCATGCGTTCTTTACTACAAATTTCGGATGAGTGAACGGTCGGGAAAGAGTTTTTGCTCTTCTATACGATCAGTGACATGTACTAAAGCACAGCTTAAATACCGCACATTGAAATTATTCCGCCAACAATGGGTCACTTCCAATGAGAATCTTGTGCGATGACCGAAATTTTACAGGTACAGCACAGCACAAAACTCGTAGATACAGGACATTGTGAATGTATCTGGCGACACTCCCTGCGGCATGTCGTTGCAAGCTCAATAATTTAAGCAGCACAACAATAACCGGATAAAGTGGATGGACTAATTCTATGTTTCATGAAGTAACAGTATCTCAGCTTGAATACATACTATCTGATCACGGTAGAACCATACGTTACGTAGACACAGGCGAAGTATAGCAAAATACACCGCACGCGGTAAGCTAGCGAGGGTAAGGGGCCAGTAATGGCATACAAATAAATCTACCCACATGAATAAACTTATAAAAACATACAAACAAAACACTACGCGCTGCTAGTAATATATTAACATACTGCATGGTTTGAGGAGTGATAAAGATGAACTGTCTGTTCTTCATCTGCATAGCGACTTGCTCCAGCAGCTCCATGGAAAGCTTACGGTTGGCCATATCCATGAATACATCGAACTCGTCCAGAGCACTGATACAAATAGATAAAAAGGTACAATAATCGGTTTAATGCAGATATCATACCGAGTCCCCTTTGGCAGAGCTGTTCGCACAATTGATTCGCTTACATACAATAAAGACTGTATACAATTACTTATGTGCAATGAAGACTGCATACAATTACTTGTATACAAGAAAGACTGCATACAATTCTTGTATACAATAAAGACTGTATATATTTACTAATATACAATAAAGACTACATACAACTACTTATGTACAATAAAGACTGCATACAAATATGCCAATCGTTGAATCTGAGGATGAAAACGATTGATAACATATGCCAAGAGATAACAACTGAAGCTATGCTTGCCCCGCCGTAAATATGTGCTCATACTTCTTCTACGTGTACGGAATCTGACTCTACTCGACATGCTACTTCCAACTAAAAATAATCAAAAGCCATGTAGAGAAGTCATACCGGAAGGGGCAGTCCATGGCATCCCACACAGCGATCAGGAAGCACACCAAACTGAAGGAGCGCTCTCCGCCTGAAAGCGTTTTAGTCTCACGGGTTTTCTGGATGTCAAAATACAAACGTGTGTCAGTGCTGTATTCGCGATATATAAATGTAACTTCAATAAAAAACCCTGCGATTCCACGTGTCATCTCGAGTATGTCTATGTGTTTCGGTAAAGATCTCTGTGTGAATTGACCTTGATAACCATGGCATCTGGCAAAAATGACATTATTTACAAAAAAGCGCTCATATAAGCTGCGATCCTCAGAAAATCAGCGCCAGCATGTGCCCTCAACCTTAACTGCACCGCCGTACTGCCATTTACAGGTTCATATTGCAACTATGCTGCTAGATGGTTGTATATCATTTTAAATAATTTCATACCTCATTTTCAGTAGCCTTTGGCTCAACTTTGATATGCAGCAGCTTCTTATGGTGATTGATGTGCACTTGCCCGCGGAACTTCTGCTGGCCTAGCAAATGTGTGAATCTTAATTTCACCCTATTGAACAAAACAAGATCAGGACAATAATTCAGGTTTCTCCCTGTTTCAATCTGACTTTTGTCACACTCAGGTGTACATAGCAATAGTAAGACACTATGTTAAGATAAGTGCAACAGAGTGAGTTTTTTACAACTTCAAATACCATTGTAGTGCATCCGACATCTGAACGAAAATCTTCTATCCAAAGTAGAATCCCAACGACGCACGATTTGGTTGTGGAAAACGTGCACCGATCCGAAACATCGCATCAAAGAGAGATTCATCCTCGATACATGTCTGAACAAATCATTGGGAGTACAACATTTGCACATTGACGCCTGTGGAGACGAAATTTATCAATAAATGCGCACGAATGCACCATACGAACACCCAGCTAGAGAAACAATATATTGACAGCATGTAACTAATTTTTTTAAGACATGTGTGCTATGGCTACCGTAAAAACACACATACCTCGCCTTTAGACTGGCTTTGAAACTGGCAAACTTCTCCATACGTTGCTGCAACATGTAGCTCAGCATCTTGCTCAAACGCTTGCCCTCTTTGAAGGATTGGACGATGCCATCGTGTCGCTTTCGTGCATCTACAAGCGCCTTTTCGATGTCTTCCACTCGACCCTGCAGACGTTGCAGTGTATATGAGTATATTAATACACTTGTGCGGGGCGCCACAATTTAGGGGTATACCAGTATATCTCACGTGTACAAAACTTCCACTTCAAAAACGGTGAATAAGAGACAAACCCACGATATCCACAATCTGACTTGGGGTTAACTGTCACATTCAGCATCCACATCTACGCACTCTTGTTACTGCGAATATACAATGTACCTGATCTCGTTCCATGCGATCCAAGGACTTCTTCTTGCCGAGGAGCATGGTTTCCAAAACACTCGCTTCATCATTTGGTGTCAATTCTTCGGGACACGCTGCCTTCGCCTGCTCATATGAAGCGACCACGTGTTTGTGCAATTGCTCAGCCTCAACCCTCATCTCTGCGATTTTTGCCTCGATCTGTATGAATTAAATGAGTTCCAATATGAGTATCCTGTCGTAGTTGTTTCTTCAAACATGGATTACTATTACTGTTGAAGTGCTCAACTCGGTGTGTTCGTACTCTTGCACATCACTGCGGGTACGATTAGCAACACTGAACCAAATAGCGTGATATCCGCTCATGCGCCAAGGTGACTGAATTCACTGTAGTGCTCGCCACCTAGAAATACGTGCTCAGTAGCACAGCAAGTCTTAAATAGTCTCAGACTCTCAGCAGCGTCCATCGCAACCGCACTCCAAGGTGGGGACTGTCATCGCTGTCATGAATATTTATAGCAGAAAGAGTGTAACAACTGTGCACTGTAATATCCTGAATTAGAACATGCATCCATATCAAGAGAGAACTCCACGGAGACCACGCATATGTATAAAAATAGACCGCAAATACGTACAGAGGAAGACATATATACGTCAGGTACTTACCTCTGCTATGCTATGCTTGTGTTGCTCTGCCTCTGCATGAATTTTGTCAATCTGTTGGCCGAGTTCACGGACTTCCTCTATCGCTGCATCGACTCTCTGTTTTATTTCCCTGTCCTCATCCTGTTATGTGACGTAGAAAGCCAATGTGAGAACTACGAGAGCTACTTTGCGTATATTAAGTCTAGAATGAGCATTTATTAAAACTTGCAAAAAAATTCTGCGTCGACAATTGCCTCGACAAATGTTACAACAACAAAATGTACAATCATGTCTTCGTACTTTCACTGCACATGTAAAACCAAACAGATAAGCGCACAGCCAATTATGTATATACGTACATGCACTTGTAATTTCATCTAAAGGTCATACATATACACATACACAGATAAATAGTATACACAAGTCCCCTTCCCGCCTCATTATATTCATGCTATAATACAATGACCACACTGATGATCTCACTTATCGTAGAAAAATTGACAGCGCAACGAGTTTCGAGGAGCTGAAGAAATCAAGCATTTTTCATTGACAATCAGGACTGACATGTCAGTCTTATCTGTGAACACATCCAGTTAAAAACATCATTCACTATCAAAAGCACAACGTATTACGAAACGTCACCAGCCTCCAGCCTCTGCAAAACGGAGCGTTTATGGCTTCTCTTCGACAACTGTGACAAGTTGAGCTTCTTGCATATAAAGCTAATATGAGATCCGCACAAACTATAGAAATACATGCATAAACTGCAGCAATAAAGTAAATATAATAACAGTCTACCTGCATCCTGGCAACCTTCGCTGTTGTTACTTTATTCGCCTCTGCTTGGATGTGGTATTTCTCCCGAATCTCCTCGAGTCTTTCCTATATCGCGATAGTGGTTAAAAGTCTTAGTATATGCTTGCAGATGCGGTGGAATACAAACTAGCGCATCGAAGTGGGCTTCGTCACAAACAGGTTTCGACATTCAGCACACACCACATTTGCATACAATACACAACTCAAGGTAGCGAAATGGCGTGCGGTATAGGAAACCATCAAGAATTCCGTTATATTGATCCGGTAACTGGTTTTCCATTCGGGGTGTTTGTGATTCGGACTAGGCAGCAGTAGCCGTGTAGCGTGATACCAGGTAAAGATTATTCTAGCTCTTCAAACGAACTGCAATACGTGAGCACAGAAACGATAACACTGTACAAGGATTAACAACAGGTTAGGAGCCTTCTCTCCCCTTTACTACCGTCCTCAGTTTTAGGGAAGCGCTGGAACATCCACTTCTAATAGAAGCCGATGTGCGCCATAGAAATTATAATCGCATAGCACTAGCAACTGTCCCGCTATACCCGCAACTAGGGGTTGGCACTCCTGCTAGGTGCTTCGTTGCATACCTCCACCATGATAAGGTTTGCATTCAAGTCTCCAATCTTTGGCTCGTATAGCCACCTTCGCAATAAGGACTCAATACTACTGGTAAGCCGTCACTCACAAACATCCTCCAAGGCAATGCTTACACTTAAGTCTTCAATCTCGGGGTTGATGATACAAGGTAACAACGCAACCATCACACTCCCAATAAACTCAACATAAGAACTCAATACTACTGCCAATTTTTGTATACCTTCTGAACGGTAATGTCCGCATTCAATTCTCCGATCTTTATCTCGTACGACTCAATGATCTGCTCGAACTGCTCTTCCTCTTCAGGCTTCTCCATTTCTTGTTTCTGAGAGTATAGTCCTTCCAGGTCCATCTACACATACAATAATTACATGTATTCAACATCCGTGCGGTCAAAATAGGGTGAGTCGTTTTATTAGTAGCTGATGGAATATTACTACTCTAAACAATCACGGCTCTCTCAACTTAATTCACAAAAGCTTATGGCACCAATTATAGTTGGACAAAAACGATGCTACACCTGCGTACCCTTTTACAAAATACAACGTTAAACACAGTCGTAGCCGGTGGTGAACTCAGTACTTCCGTGGGAGCGTTCAAAATTGGCCTCGTTACCTGACTATCACGAATCTGGATGTTATATTTCCGGAGCAGAGTATTGTAATGTTTTCCGTTCTGAGACAATCCTTGTAAGTCACGTTTGAGCACGTTAATCTGTTCATCCACTGTCTGCACTTGCGCATTCAGCCGCTGCATCTCATTTTCACATTCGACGATAGATCCCGCGACATCCATTTGGAATCGCGGTGGTTGTGGCTTATAGTTCGACATGTACGAACTGCAATGAGATGGCGTTCCGACGAGTGGAAAGATGAGAAGCAAGTATAAGCTATCTGACCGGGATATGACTAAGAATACACAAATTGTGCGAAAGTGATTGATTAAAGGTGCAAGCAAGGTGTGGTAAGTATCAGCATAAAACACCGGAAAAGGTAAGACCAGGTATTGATATTAATGCCCTGCGGCGATGAAAGATGAAGATGAGGTGTACGATGAAAGATAAAGATGAAGTTTACGATGAAAGTTGAAGATGAGGTTTACGATGGAACATGAAGATGGGGTGTGTGATGAAAGAGGAAGCTGAGGTTTGGGATGAAAGATGAAGATGAGGTTTACGATGAAAGACGAAGATGAATTTACGATGAAAGATGAAAATGAGGTTAACGATGAAAGATAAAAATGAGGTTTACGATGAAAGACGAAGATGAGGTTTTGGATGAATGATGAGGATGAGGTTTAAGATAAAAGATTGAAGACGAGGTTTACGATGGAACATAAAGATGAGGTTTACAATGTATGATGATGATGAGGTGTACGATGAACGATGAAGATGAGGTTTATGATGAAAGATGAAGATGAGGTGTACGATGAAAGATGAAGAGGTTTACGATGAAAGATGGAGATGAGGTTTACCTTGAATGATGACGATGAGGTTTACGATGAAAGATGAAGATGAGGTTTACGACGAATGATAAAGATGAGGTTTACGATAAAAGATGAAGATGAGGTCTACGGTGAAAGATGAAGATGAGGTTTACGTTGCAGTCACCTGCACAGGCAACAAACGAATCACCACCACTTACTCGTCTGTGATTTGCGCCCCACTGATGTCCAACACGTCCTTCACGTTTTTGTAGTTATGTCGTGCAGCCTAAGGGTACCAAAAAGAATGTACATTTCAGTCTGTCGTGCCATACGCATGCCGGTGCAAACCAATTTCTCCATATTTTGCTCTATGAAAAGATTGTACATAGCGTACAACGTCCTGAAACCATGACATGCACCGAAAACACTCGTGACTAGCCAACCATTTTTAATGCTGTTTTTAGTATTTTCACGAATGATCACCTGCACATCAAGTGACGCGCAGCACGCAATAGACGTGTCATTTTTTGAGTGACGTCATCATCATAACGAGAAATATTGTGTGCGATGCGAAAGGACTAGGAGTATCAGAATCTCTGAGCAATTGCCAAAACTTACAATTTGCGCTTCCTGTCGTGATGGACAGATGATGGTCTGCTCAATCCTCGAGAGTTCCAATAGCCCATTGAATGCTTGCGTATTCTCGACCTAAATAGCGAATACACGCACAAAAACGCATACAAGTTAGTCTATGTTGAGCTACAGATAAGCCGGAGCGAATGTGAGTCTTTATATAGCTAAGTATGAAATGTGGTATGGAAACTATGGACAATCATCAGAACCTCAAAATCACATAGTAGCTAAGCCACGCAACGTCATAGACCATTCACACTCTTTATGGCTTCCATTATTGTTTATAAATCGTCTCTAACTTCGATGCGATTAAAAAACCAGTTCAATAAGTGTAATATGATTCGAAATGTACTAGCGGCAAATGTGTTCGACGTACTTCAATGAGGTCCATAATCGTCGGGTAGCTGCATTTTGCTCTAGTCGTGTTGGTATTGTATCTGTAGTCGGCAAACTTCGCGATCATCAGTGGCGGCTTCTTCTTGCCCCTGAACCTTTGTGCTCTGGAGGTACAGCAGGATTTACTAGTGAGTGTATGTCTGGAGGTGCAGCAGAATTTACTGGTGAGTGTATGTCTGGAGGTGCAGCAAGATTTACTAGTGAGTGTATGACTGGAGGTGCACCAGGATTTACCAATGGGTGTACGTCTAGAGGTACAGCAGGATATACTAATGGGTGTATGTCTAGAGGTACATCAGGATTTACTAATGGGTGTATGTCTAGAGGTACAGCAGGATTTACTAGTGAGTGTATGTCTGGAGGTACAGCAGGATTTACTAATGGGTGTATGTCTGGAGGTTCAGCAGAATTAACTAGTGAGTATACATATTCTTATGCAAGTGAAATGTTGCCAGTGCGAACAGAGCACACCACACATACACTGTGGCTAAATGCATTCAAAGTGCTGTACTATGGCTATTTAAGATGAACCGAGTCTACCATATGTACAGCATCGCGATTCTATCGAAAAGACTGTAGAAAACGAGATGATATTTAAAAAAACAAACGCAAAGCGCTATTACTTATCATTGGCAAGCGGCAAGGACACAGCGATTCAACTTACGTGTAAACCTTATTAATCAACTGGTTCATGACATGAGCATCCCTATGACTGTTTATAAGGAAGGTGCTCATATTCTTTCCCATTGAGGCCTCAAGTGCGATATTATATTCCGATTCTGCAACACCAAGGTATAAACGCAATATTATATCAGATAGAGAACGAATACAGAAATAAATTCGGCGCAGACAAGGTGTGTGCAATCCTATTCAAACCGTACCAATGCCGAGCTGATTTGAATGTCACGATTCATACGAGAGCTTCCAACCGACGCAACCGCTCTAGGATCCTACTTTTACATTCCATATCAACCACGTCTTGAACTTATGGGTAGGCAAATGATATGCATTCGTTGGATGTACTTTTTGATGACTCGCAACACTTTCACGTGAGATACATTTTGACTAAGGCGCTTTCATCATACCTTTGACAGCCACAAATGCACCTAAAGGTCCCACAGGTCTCTTCTCGAAAAATTTCGTGTTCTTGTCTATCAATCGGATCAGTTGGGAAATGCCTTCACCCCACACCTGTACACATTGGCAATAAGGATCGAAAATTGATTGAATCAGACTATATAAAGAAGCTTAGCGGGAAGAGAGGGAGGGGGAAACACTCAGTAGCGTAAACTTCAGAAACCCGGTCCGAATTCTCCAAAATTAAAACATTCTCAGTGTTGCGAATGCATCAAATGGAACTCAGCTTTCATACCTCAACGTTGTCCTTCAGGGCGCCCTTCAGGTTTCTCATCTCATTCTTGACCTTTATACGCTGGTTATCCAATTGCATTCTTTGACCCTGAATGAGATAAAATTCAAGATTGACTAGCTAAACACATGCTTTCGACTGAGTCGACCCTTAGTAAGTGCTCTGGTAGTAGATAATATGTTGCAATTGGGCTTCCGTACGCTGGAGACAGGACAGCTATGTGCTGATGTATGCAGCATATACAACGGTTGCACATAGAAACTTAGTTCGCAAAATCTGCCACATGTTAGTATCCTGATTCGGAGTGCTCGCTTTGTCTGTTGATGTAAAATGTAATATGCAATAACCCTTCAGTATCGATCACACGAAACTTCGTAAATCAAACACGGATTCAACTAGATTCTTATGGGATTTGCAGCTCAAAGCGACTCACAGCTCTGGTGAATTCCGCACTCGAATAGGCAAAAAGTATATCAATTCCAGTAGATGATTACGTGGAGCGATCAAGTTGGATCCCAGGAGCACTTACAGTGAGGGATTCGAGTTTGGACTCAACATCCCGGGTATCGTATCGCAGGCTCTCCATTTTCTCTTTGGTATTGGCGGCTTCTTGTTTTATTTGATTGACTTGATCCAATTTTTCAGCGATTCTACGAATAATGCAAATTTTATTTAGTCCCCCTAAAAGAAACCACCGAGCTTGTCGGAAAACCATAAGTACCGAAAAACTTTTACAGCTGCAACTTCCTTCCAACGGGGGTATATACGTTGTCGCAGAAATGATCTCATATACACTTAATAGTCAGAGTTGATCGCGTTTATAAATAGAAACAGCGCCATCCACATACTAAGTCAAAATGCGACGCGAATTATGTGCGGCCATGGCCATACCATTCATTAAAACTAACAACATTGCCAGCAATTTGACATCGATTTGAAGACACTTTACTGACCATCATATTTGTCAGGCTAGTGTTAAGAACAACTATAGCACTACCGCGCCAATCAAATCTGCAGCTAATTCATTTATACGCAGATCCATCTCCCATCTACAGACACTTAAAATGGCAAGTGTCAACCTGACATACGTACTTGCAGGTGGGATACTCGCCATCAAACTGACATATACCCAACTAACAAGTAGATTTATAACCAAGTCACTGATAACAGACTTACATTTCGTAGGCATCAGCCTCACAGGCATATTTGCAGGAGAGATACTGGCCAACAATCCAATAAGTATTCCACTCCTATACAGATGTGCATTTTCATGACAAAGAGACTTACATGTGGTCCACTGGGTCGCGCTCTGGCTTGATCTGATGCATACGTTGTCTCACCTTCTCAATCTCCTTCCCGTAGTTGACCTGGTCACTTTTCATGACGTTGATCTCTGACTGAATAAAACAAGTGACAACAAAAGGTTGTGTGCATATGATAGACCTGCACATTGTAGAGGTATAGACAGTGAAAAATCCATACAGGCATAAAGAGACGCCATAACTCTTGTCAGGTGAAGTATCTTCATCATTGTTCGCCTCAATAAGGATGTATCATTTTCAAATACAACAGAGCCAAACAAGGTTCTTTGCAACTGATTCATTAACTCAAATACCTCGATGTTAGCAGCGTCAGCGTGCAAAGCCCTGAGTTTCTTCTTGTTCTCCTTCTGCTGTGCTATGATTTGTGGGTTCCGCTGCAGCATTTCATCACGCTGTCCAGCCAATACATTGGCCACGTCGAATCGCTTCTTTTTTTGCTTTTGAAGCTGTAACAATAGAGGTGCGCGATCGTATCATATATCAGCAAGGTAATGGGGTGTTTGTGAGCAGCATATGCCACACGTATCCCGAAAGCTGCGTACAAAAACCGAGACACTTCCCCATGCGCAATCATCGCCCGTGATCACGATCCCATCACAGCTTAATATTATCTACAACCACGCAAGGCGGATTTCTGCATTTCTCTAGAGCATTTGAGAAAACAACCAACATCTTTTATGGACAGTGTGTCTATCGATATCGCCACGCACGCATGATCACTTACTCAGCAGAACACAAACACGTGCCGTGAACTTTATATCGATGAGAAACCGTAACTGCGTTATGGGTTATTTCACTCCCCCGCCACATACTGTGGGAAAATAGTGCTAAAACCAACTCAGTGAAACATCACCAAACTTGAAAATTAAACCATACCGTGGTTTTCTTCTTTTCGCACTGCCCCAGCAGAGCCTGCTTCTCCGGGATCGTGTCTTGCAGTTCTGAGATATACTTCTCCACAGTTGCGTATTCAGTTTTGACTTCAATATGGTTAGCCCAGGCCCACTCGTCAGTCAGCCGTGCTATCTCATCCTGTTTTTTTCGTAGTTCAGTGGCGGCCTATGGTAGCGCGATATCGAGATCAGCATTGAAGACAAGGACTATAAGTTGAGAAGAAATGCGAGCACGATAGGTTCCAGAAAAGAGAAAAAAAGTGGAGCACTAAAAGTCCACACATTTCCAGATCGTCTCATACTCAATACTGCAATGGGTATGGGAGTAACATAATACAGGCCTGTGATGGAGATCATCTCGCGAGAAGCACACAGTAAACGACCACTACACACCTTAACCTTCTCCTCTGCTCGTTTCAGTTCCTTCTTGGCCCGATCGTAGGTATGCTTAGCCTCCTCTCCGGAGATTTCCAAGCTGTTCACAGTCTCCTTGATTTTACTGTTCAGAGGATGAACAACAATTCATATTCAGTATTGAGCAGCTTATTGAAATACTCCTAAATGATTGCCACCAAGGTACGTATCGCAAACAGTGCAGCTGAAGCAGATGAGACACACATAGACTGAAGAAATAACACAGACAAGCCGTACCTGTAATCATTTGCAAGCTGCATCAGAGATGTGGCCTTGTAGAAGAAATTGTATTTTTCAACTGGATCGTCCTTGGACAGGAATTCTTTACTGTTGTCTTGTGTCAAAATTTGCACCGGATTGTCAATCTGAATTGTGAAGAAATCCAAGATCTCCTGCAGATCATCTCTTTTCCTACTCACTTCCTGGTAATTGCGAGTAAACATGCAGTGCTGATGAGCGAGCTTTCTCGATGCGTGTATTTAATAAAATCCAGGGTGCGTTCGACTCGCACATCCGAGTTTTAGTGGGGCCGAGTCATATTATTACTAAATATCCGACGATGATTCGCAAGTCAAAACCTTTTTTTTTTTATCAATCGCTCCATTTACGTCTACTTCATTCTTGGCGAATGGAATAAATTGCAAGCGTGAAATGTACAACGGTTGCAAGAGTATCCAAAAAAAATATATATATATATAATCAATGGACCGCTTTTCGACGTCTAATCAATTCCCTCGACTGCCATGAGAAGTATGCACTATTTTGTTAACACTTGGCAGCATTCCGAGCTGCTTGTGTGCCAATGCTGGCGCCTCAGGGCATAAAGATGTGCTCACACAGTGCGAATAGTGCACGGTTTACCTTACCTTGCCATCACTACTCTTCAGCTTGTAACCACTGGCGCTGTTTTGCGAGATCGTCCTTTCAACAATGATGATATCGCCGTAGATTTCGTTCTTGAAAGCATCTTCTCCAGCGTTCGTAAGCTCTACAATGATAGTACACTTTTGTTTGCCCCACATGATGTGCTCCTGTAGTTATGTATGACGCGATTATGTATTTATGGGTTAGGCAGCCACAATATTAGGCAGAGGGTGCAAGGTAGCGCGTTGGGACAAGTAAGTGGGCGTGGGACAGGTTCATGCTTCTATCTAGGAACACCATCAGTGCAGAAAACCTTCGACACAATTACACTAGGATGAAGGGTACAAGTGATAGAAAGATACTTACCTTCAGATTTTTACCCCGATTGGTCGACTTGGCACTGGCCCCAAGACAGATTGACAAAGCCGTAAGCGTCGTGCTCTTTCCACTCCCGTTGCCTCCGGTAATGAAGTTGATGCACGCACCGAACGGAACTTCCAGGTACTCGTGGCACATGAAATTCTTCATGGTGATCTTGCCGATGATACCGGCTTCCGCCTAGACAAAATTGAAGCCAGTCATACATACATCAACTACTATCTTCATATGTCTTACAGGCACGACAGGTATAGAGGGATGACCACATGTTACCTGGGCGGTCCTGTAGGTCGTTGCAAGACATGATAGCCAATATGGGTGTAGTGCTCTCAAACTATAGCGTTCAAGCACAATACTCTCATAGCATGCAAATGATCCGAGACATAATCCAGTAATAATTGAATAGGAAAAGATTAAATACCGTTCGTTTGTACTCTACAATTTTTGCAGCACACACTATTATATGCAGGGCATAGTAACATTGTTAAAGCCTGCTAATTGATTGAGTACATTTGAATACGATCAGAGCACAGAATGAATTCGACATTACAGTCGCCAATTTTGTTACGCCCTTGAATTCCGTCCCACACCCTACAAGGACGTCTATTAGAGATAATGTAATCACTTTTTAATACTCTTGACCCTGTATCTTATCACCATGTCACGAATAAAATTTAGATAGACCCCCACACTTTCTAAACCTTGTCGAACAAGGCACACCTACCAGCAGTAGATCTGCCTCCGTTATCTGATAATCCCAATGCCTTTTACAGTATGTCACCAACCAGTTTTAAATACACCCACCTGATCCATATTCTGGCGATGTATTTTGTCATCATCCCCATCGTCCCCATCGTTGCCCTCTTCGTCGGAGGAATCGTCGTCTTCTCCTGACCCTGAACCCGAATCGCTTTCACCGCTGTCTTCGGCTTCCTCTTCTAATGAATAATCATTTCTGTACGCAATTGCAAAAGAGATATTTGTACACACAAGCAAACAAACAAACAAACATACATACATACATACATACATACATACATACATACATACATACAAACAAACAAACAAACAAACAAACAAACAAACAAACAAACAAACAAACAAGTACCATTCTGAGTCGGAGA